TGTCTATTTACTTGTGACCACTCAGTGTACTCATTTATTAACAATTTTCCATTTATGATTTGTATACAAAATATTCATTAATCTATCTGGATGTTTATTCATCCATTTTCAACATTTGTCACTCATCTTTAATTTGTTAATTCGCTCCTTAACCCGATCATTTCCCATAAATATTTATATATATATATTAATCAGTTCATTTCTATATGCATCAGTTATTTAGCAATCTATCTTTAACAATTTGTTAAACATTTACATCATAATTCTGATGCAAGAAAACGCACATAAAACCACTTTCAAAAATAAAATATAAAAAATTGCCAACATAAACAAATCTACACTGCTACATAAATTTAGTAATATCGTTAAATTAATTATCCACATACTTTCATGTTGACTGAGTGAAAGAGGAATAAATAATTTATATGAAATTTGTTAACCTAGATATATGATTAAGAGATAACGCTGGAGATAACAATGCATTTTGCACATCAGTACGACTACATGTTTAGCACGTCCATGTTCTTAGTTTTGTTTCATCACTATCTCTTGAATGAATTATTAGAAAGTAGCGTATACAGCTATCTCTATTTGAAGTTATGGTGTAGCGATATTTGATGGCGACTTATCAGGCGTAATATAGTGTCATCTGTGCCCGCAATGGACAGGTGACATTTCTTTTTTTTTTTTTTTTTTTTTTTTTTGTCAATCTACAGAGCAGAAACTCCAGAAAATGTCACACATCAGTGGTTTTATGAACCCCAACTAGTATGTTAGTCACTTTGTCGGTTTCAATCAATCAGATGTAATTCTTTCTCAGACATATACTCTAGTGCTTTGTGTGCTCTATGTGAAAAAGTATTCAACACTAGTTGAAACCAAGATGCATTGAAATTAATTAATTGACTTGGTAGTTTTACAGTCTTTAGTATGGTTGTGTGTGTTATTCAAATATACAAAAAAAAAGTTATGTGCTAGCTAAATCTCCAAATATGTTGCCATTAACTCTTGCATATAGATTGTAGCAAGAGAAAACACCCAATTAAGCAGCAAGACAAAACAACTGGGTATAAAACAAAATTCGCTAACTTTAAAACAAGTTTTAAAATCGTATGTCTTATTAACTTACTATTTTTCTATCTGCACTATAATATTAACTATTTTGATTTTTATAATGCCTTGCATACTTCCTGTCCTGCCAAAATGTATAGCTAAAAAACGGCCTTTGGTTACGTGTTTGGTCTTGAAGGCACTTGTTTCAGGTATAAGTTAAATAACGTTTTTTTTGTTGTTTTTTCCTTTCACATACATATTTTTAGTTTATGAAGTGTCGAGACTCAGCTCCAACTTCAGGTGCCTGATAGTTTGATAGAGTCAGCCTTAGCAAGACCAAATTTGGTAGGCGGACTGGGGGTGTGCTTATCTGTATGGCGTAGCCTTCAATCAAGTGGAGCTAAAACGTGTCAAGAAGTTCACTCAGGCATGGTAGGGGTCTAAGAGTGGGTTTTCGGGGTTGCTTAACTTGAATATGACATGGATTTTGTGTTCCTACCCCCTACAGAATCCCGGGGCGCCATGTTTGAAACTGTATTCAAAGCTCCACTCGCATAATAGCAAGACCAAACGTGGCACACATGTCCAAGTATCATCACGGGCGGGTGTTCTATTTTTCTTGTACATACTGCCCTTGGATTAACTACCGTATTTTTCGGTGTATAAGACGCACTTTTTTAACCCCAAATTTGATGTCAAAATCTGCTTGCGTCTTATACACCG